GTGCAATAAGGTTAGGGGATGTCAGTGGTAGCGGGCGATTCGGACCCAGGCGGTCTCGATCTATCTATCTCACGGCCTTAGTGTTTCACAACAAGGAAGGATTCAGAAGTCAGTCACTATACACCCTGAGCCTTTTAATCACTGAGTATTACATTATATCAACAGAGTGGTTAAACAATATTAAGAATCCTGGAAACAATGCACGTCTCACGTCCTTGGTTGTAGTCAAGGGAGTCAGGAGCACTAATATGCCCCTCACGAAGGGAAGGCTTGTCTTTGAAGGCGCGTATCGCTAGGCTTCTGGAGGTACGCCCTGTCTGGGATCCTCCGACACAACTGTCCTTGTCGCTGTCTGGCGTCGAATCCCCACACAACTGGTCCTTGTGGCTGCCTGGCGTGGAATCCCCCTTTCAGTGCGGCTTCCGACCCCTTTTAAAGTTGGTCCATGCCCTCAGGCATATTTTAAGCCCATCACACTTATGCCTGCCTCTGGTTGCAGAAAGGAGCAAGAAATATCTTTTTTTTTTTTAATTGGCCCTTTGCAGGGTAAAAGTAATGTGTAAATGGGATCGGAACTTTTTTAATGGAACAGGGATTTAAGTGTATGCAGACATGTGGTGGCACAAGCAAATCCAGATTTTCATTCCAACAACAATGTCGACGTTAGTATTCTTCCTTAGTAGATACTCTCCTAATAAAAGTATACCAGGAGTATGCAATGAGTCAATTTCAATCGAAATTGTCACTTCTGAGTCAATGATAATGCTTCCAGCCATAATGCGCTGATGACCCAGAAGTTTTTGGAATAAAATGTCAGTGTATTTCCCATGCACCCTATCCCCCCCCCCCCCTTCGTATTTCTGGCTGGTTCCTACTCTCAAAGAAAGCCTCGCTGGGAGACAGTTTCGCTGAATTGAAGACCTTAGCTAGGCTGTACTTGCGGTGCTTCAAGGAATACAACATTCCTTTAAAGAGGCATTTCAAAGGAGGCTCCAAAAGCGCGTTGATGTTGGTGGGGACTATTTTGAAGGGCTCTTAAAGTTTTTAATTCCAGTTCTTAAAAATAAAGAAGTTTTTGAGCTGCGGTCATTGCTTATTGAGCATCCTTCGCAGACTTTAAGCTGTAAGTACAGTCACCTGACAGCCTTAAGGTTATTTTACACTGTGTCAATGCTTGGACAGGCAGACGCACGCATACACGCGTGTCCACTAACATTCAAGGTTTTTCACAAAATGCAAGGCTTGCGTTTTCAATTGAGCACATTCCAATTCCACACGCAAGCCTTGCGTTTTGTGAAAACATTAGAATATAAGTAGACATGCGTGTGCACGCGTGCGTCTGCCTACCTGCCCAAATATTGACGCAAAGAACGCATGACATGCTAATTGTGAAACGTCTTTTATTGCCATATTCTTTCCGCTTGGATTTACGGATGGGTTCATTAGTTTTGTTTTGGCATCGTCAACAAATAAATTAAAAGAAGCTATAAATTTTCTAGCTTTGGAAACCTGCTAGAAAAAATAAAGTCTTCCTCGAAGGCTTTGACGATGAAAGATCTTCGATAAGAATTCTCCCGAATTTTCGGAAGAGTCATGTAACTGCAAGTGTAATAGTTCTGAGCATGGAAAAACTGCACTTGATAGAATATAGAGAATGTTTAGCATCATTTCGGGACTTGTTAAATGAATTATTTCCATGTTGCTGCACTCTTTCACAAATGGGTTTCTGAAGCTGCTCATGTGTTGACCACTGAGATGGCAATACGCTTAATAACCTTACTGACGAGTTTAATACTCCATTTGGAAAGATGTTCACCTTAAATGGACAAGGAATAAGTTAGAATGGGATGATGCAAGACTCAACAAACAGTTAGGTACAGTGGCATGCCAAAGGGGGGGGGGGTTGCATAATTTTGCAGGTTCGATTCTCACAATTTTTTTTATTGGCCACAAATAAGGGGTGGGTCATCAGTTTTTTCATATGTTAACCGGGGGGGTTTATTAGGGTGGGTAATCAGTGTTTCACATGGCAACCCCCCATTCGGAATTCCTGGGCACGCTACTGTTTAGGTAGGAGTTGGAGAGGTTCTATAACATAATGTCGAAAGCCACAATGTCGTCAGATTTTTTGTCGACTAGCAAAAATGTCGAATGTCACACAATGGTCGAATGGGCATAATGTTGATTGTTACAATACCGAAAGTGTCAAAATGTGGAAAAACGTCGAATCCTCAAAATGTCGAAATCCGGTTATTCTTTTCCGTTCCTTGGGTCCTGATATAATCAAGGAGAGGAGATTAAATTCTTTCCTCTCTACTCCCTTGAGGCAG